TCGCTTCACAGCCACACCTCCCGCGCACGCGATGGCGGCTTCTCCCGGCGGCCCGCCGTGCCTACCGTTTTGGATAGGCTCGTCGGGCCCCAGCCCAAATCCCGCGCGCCGTCTAAGACCGGAGGCGCCGCTCGGGCCGTGATCCGGGCGCTCCGCGGCCCGAGCAACGCCCGCTCAGCGCCCGTTGCGTGTTTAGTCCGGAAACAGGTTAACTGTTTCTTTTCATGTTTTTAGGACAAATTTAATTTGTATTTCCTTCAAAAATATGTAACTAAATATGTTAAGTGTTTCTGTGGGTGTTTCCCAGCAATATACTTTTGCTCTTTCCTCTGAAAACACAGAAATAAATACGATAAATATTTGATTAAGTGTTTAGTTCCCCATTTGGGCCCAAAAAATACTGAAAAATTCCCTGTGTTTGCTGGTGATTTTGCTCAACTACAACCTCCTGGCCAGGGTACACCGCTCTGGACTGACGTTCTTGATAATGAGAGTCCCAAAGTCAAGCAAACTGTTAACAAAGAGAAGGCAAAGTTTGGCCGTGCATTGTGGCTCCTTGTTACCAACGTAGTCATTCTAAGGAAGAATATGAGACAGCAAGGTATGTGTGAAGAAGATATCAAATTTCGGACTGCCCTGGAGAATTTGCGATACAAAGCATGTACCCAGGAGGATATAACATTGCTCAAAAGTCGTGTTGCAGGCCCATTGCCTCACCAACCAAAGCTCAGTGATCCAATATATCGAGGAGTTCCCATAATAACTGCTCGAAATGTTCATAGGGATAAGATAAATGAAATGGGAGCTGCACGATTTGCTCTTGACACAGGTCAGGAGCTGATATGCTTCAATTCCAAAGATAAGTGGGCCAGACGTAAGGATCTCGAATCCTTGAGGGCAACTCAGAGAGCCCATGAAAAAACCCTAGACTTGATTCGCTCCCATAACATAGTTGATCCTGCCATACAGAAGATGCTTTGGGACCTTCCTCCATGCTGCACGGACAATCATGCTGGATCATTGAGCCTTTGCATTGGTATGCCCGTCATGCTCAAATATAATGAAGCCACAGAGCTGTGTGCAACTAATGGTGCAGAGGCAACCGTGGTGGGGTGGCTGGAAGCTCTCTCTGAAGATGGCCACAGATATTTAGACACTCTGTTCATAAGACTGCAGAATCCACCTCGAGTACAGCATCTACCAGGGCTGCCTGAAAATGTTATACCAATTGTTCCATCATCTAAGACCATCACATGTGACACACAAGCGGCGAAAAAGCCGAGGATTGAAAGAAAGCAAGTCCCGATTCTCCTCAATTTTGCAATGACAGACTTTTGCTCTCAGGGTCGTACCAGGCCAGTTAATCCAGTTGATCTCCATAACTGTGGTGGCTTTCAATCTGCATATACCTGCTTGTCAAGGGGTACTTCGTTAAAGTCAACAATCATCATCCAACCATTTGAGGAGTCCCTTCTCAGGGGAGGTGCTCCAGGCAATATACGGAGAGAATTTAGGGATTTGGAAATTCTGGACCACATCGGGTACCTTTACCACAGTGGAAGGTTGCATAAAGATATACGTGGAGCAACAAGGCATGCCTTAATCAAGGCATATCAGAACATCTATGGGAAGAGATCTGTGCCTTCTCAAGTTCACAGTGCATTACATTGGTCGTCCTGGTCTGACAAAGATTTACAACCACCAAACCATTGGAATAAGTATTCGGAGCCTTGGTTTATATGGCACAGATCATCTGAAGAACATGCAAAGGTAAAGGAAAAATTCTATGGTCACCAGAAACCTCAGAACTCTGTGGAACAAGTGATAAAACGTGGCAGCCCAGATACCAATATCACAGATAAAATGGAGAAAAAGCGAAAATTTATAGACATGATGAACCCTGTAGATTCTCGTGGGATCAAGAGAAAGTGTGAAGATGTTCCACCTGATAGTCCATCAGCGAAGAGACTTTGCAGAACAACAGGAAACAACACAGGGCAAGATATCTTCCGTCCTGTGGGCTTTGTCTGGGATCCTGTGGACTGGAGCTGTGCATACGACAGCACTCTTCTCATACTGTATAATCTGTATAGGGAAATAGGCGCCTCTGCATTCAAAGAACTGTTACCATCCACTGCTCCTGTCAGATACCTCCAAAGAAAGATGCACTTTTGCATAAATCAGCAAAGCCAAGAATCCATGGAAATTATGAGAAATGATATACGGGATTATCTCTCTGCAATGAATAATATGGAGTTTCCAAGGCATGGTCAAGTGCCTGCATCTGCGGCTGCAGTAGCTGCAACATTTGTGCAACCTAAAAGCAAGAATGCATTATTCACTCGGTCTTGTTGCGGAAACCGGAGAGATAAAAGAATCGGTACTGCTGTATGGTATGCAGATAATGATTTATTGCATCAGTCACAACGACCGCCCTCTGCAGAAATCATGCAGGAATCTATAAGCAGTTCCAGGTGGATAGAGCTAATTTCTCACCGCTACCGTCCCAGTCACATTTGCTCCACGTGTAATAAACCGATGTTGGAAACTATAAATTTCACAGACCCTCCCAGAATGATGATACTTTCCTTACCTCCTGATAACACTGCATCTAGGACTACTGTGGATAAGGTTTTATCTATGACTTGTGGCTTAACAAATATCACATGGAAGCTGCGTGGCATAGTTTACTTTGGTAATTTACACTTCACATCAAGGTATATTGACAGTGGAGGAAGGATATGGTACCAGGATGGAATGGCAACAAGGGTATGTCTCCAAGAACCGGCAAGTACACCTCTGGAGGAAGCTCATGGTGCAGCTGCATCACTTCTTGTATATATGCATTGCTAGACCTGTTCACCTTTATCTCTCTCTGGAACCATCACAAATGTTTGTTCGCAGTCATTGCAAATTCACGTGCGGATTATCCACGAAATATCACGTGAGGATCGGAGGCCATTCGGCCGATGACATCTTTTGCACTATACGTACAGCCACTCGGGCCTCACAAATTCGGTTTATTATCCGATTAATAAGCCTATCTACTCAAATTTACCTATGTTCACAGCCTCATCGGCCATATGTGACTGCGTATGCCATAACGCACATGCCAAGGGGGGGAGTCGGGACCGGCGCTTGGCGCCAGCTTACACACGTTACGTGCCGGTTCTGCCGAAGGCTGAGACCGAGAACTTCTTTCCTTTTCTAGCTTGCGGCGCTGATGCGCCTTTGACCGATTGATCCTTTTGCTCCACTTCCATATGCTCAATGGCCCGCGACGAGGTATAAAAGACAAGCAACCTCGTCGCGAGGACCTTCACCTTTTGGTTTTATATCTTACCTCGAGTTGCTCAATCGAGACGTGAACTCTCTCTTGTTGTGCCGCTCGAGAACCTTACCGTGTGAACGCACCTTAGCCTCATTCGGCTTTGCCCGCGTCACATATTTTTGAGAGTGTTTCGTGAGTAATCCGTTATCGCTCGTCGTCGCTAACCCCTCTTCGATAGGACACTACCCGGCTTGATCACCCGGGTACACCTTTGCTGAGGACACAGTGACTGCGAGCACTCCTAGCTACGTGTTCTATTTCTTTATCCCTACACGCTGAGTATGCCTGTGTCTAGGGATGAGCTCACGGGTCGCTGGACTCGTAATGACCGTAGGGTCGGCGGACTAGACAGAGTCCCCCGACCCGAGTCGGATATCAACATCAACGCGGGCGAGGCGGCTGCCTCTGACCCCGTTGACTCATCTCCGTTGGCGGGCGAGGCTGGAGCTATGCACCGCGGAGATGCCCCGATGGCCGGCGATCATGCAGGATCGAGCCTCGGGGCCGTTATG